ACCCAGAGCACGCTTGGACTGTTCGTGAGCCAATCGTGGTATTATAGTGATGGTTTGTATCGACAAACACACACACACATACACACATACATAATATAGATATGTGTGTATATACATCGATTCCTGTTTTTCGCAAGAAAAAAATATACCATTCTCAAATTCTCTGCTTTGGTGTCTACGTGACGTGATAAACTGTGACAAATCAGTTTGAGTCACGGACGTTGAAGGTTAGTACAATAATTGTCCTCGGTATGTATTTCAAGGTCGTAACTATCAGATAACACGGGTAAAACATTCTTGATTCGTAGATTAAACGTAGGCCATATTTGGATAACGACAATTATGTGACCTCCGGGTTCAGGAATACATACACCTGACGCTTTCACTTGGTTACATGGAACATGTATGCCACTTGGACATGTGTGCCACGTTTAGCAATATTCCAGCAATATTCCAGCAATATCACGGGACACCAGAAATGGGCTTCATACATTGTACCCATGTGGGGAATCGAACTCGGGTCTTTGCTTTTACGACCAGGCTATCTCATCGCCTATCACTTTGATGATTATTACAAGACCTACATTACAGGCCTCTGGAAAGAACTCATTAGATTAGAGGTGACGTGAGGTGAAATGGGGTTAACGTCCTACTTAAGATTATTTCACTCATATGACGACGTGCATGCGTGTGTTTGTGTGGCTGCTTGTACTAGCCCAGACTTAAGCTGGGTTTATAGTGCTAGCTCACTGAGATACCATGCCGCAGTTAAGCATGAATACTCCACTCAGACACATTATACTGACTCCGAGCCGACCAGTCCTAGTTGTACCCATTCATGCCGAGCGCCAGGCAGGGACCAACAAGTACAGTCAAACCCCGTTGTGTCGAACTCGTCAAGTACAGTCAAACCCGTTGTGTCGAACTCGTCAAGTACAGTCAAACCTGCTTGTCGTAAGAGGCGACTAACGGGATCGGGTGGTCAGGCTCCCTGACTTGGTTAACACATGTCATCGGTTCCTAATTGCGTAGATCGATGCTTATGCTGTTGATCACTGGATTGTCTGGTCAAGACTCGATTATTTACAGACCCCGCCATATAGCTGGAATATTGCTGAGTGCGGCGCAAAACTAAACTCACTTACTCACTCACTCATTATTTGAGCTAAGTTACGAACGAGGGACTGGTGTCCAGATTTTCATGTTGTGGTCAGTTCGTTGACCGTTTAAATTATTCATTAAATTAATCTCGTGTAAGCTGTGCAATATGAAAAAAGCCCCACCTCCAGCTTCTCTGTGAGTGAATTGAAGAATTTGTTGTGCATTGTCCCAAAATGCACGTGAGTGAGTCAGGTTTAAAACCACTACCTACAGAACATAGGAAAATCAAGGTTGTGTTTTAAAACAAAATACAAGAACTGAATAATTCACGTAAGACTTTGAAAAAGTTGAAATTGTGAAACTAGGAGTATTCAAATTGTTCTACTTGCTTCACATTGCTTCCATAACAGCTTTAAAAGTTAATTTGCCTGGCGGAAATTGGATACCTTAAAACAAATAACATGTCCTCGTCCAGTCATCTGCAAATTCTATTTTCGCAAATTTGACCTTTCTCTTTACCCTTCAGTGCAGTTAACATATTGTATTCTATGCGATTAACGAGCTTCTGGAAATAGCTTAACTTTTGTTCAAGGAATCAGAATCGAATTTCGGCGATTGTATTTCCTGGATTTATAGAATAATATAAAGCAATTAAATTGGATTTGACCATGCCACAACTTGTTTTAGCCGTTGTCGTTGTGTCTCTGTTTTGCGTAACTCCATATGCTTGTAGTTACCCATGCTGACATCAAGGCCATTTTATGAAGAAATGGTATCGTTAAAGTTTATATTTCAAAGACTGATCATAAAGAAGTTCCAGAACCAACTTGACACTGTCAAATGTGCATCATATTACATGTATTTATGTTAAGGACATGGTCATTCATTGCAGTTTGTATTCGTACGCGTCATCCCATATGCGTGCGTGCGTGCGTGCGTGCGTGCGTGCGTGCGTGCGTGCGTATGTTGTGATGGCGGGGAAGGATTAGTTGTAGAATACAGAGGTTTTCTTCAAATGGAACCTATAGGGATAATGTGAATATTCGCAACAATTCTAACAGTATGTGCATTATGTTGTTATAAGTACTTGCATACACAGTGTCGCGCCTGTCATGTCTGACCTGCAACACATGATATATGTCATGACGCCTTCGGTTGTTTTGTGGAAAATTGTGCAAGTGTGTTGGGTCTTACCGCCATTTTGTGCCAAATGTCTGTGACGGAGAGATAACAGGATGTATGTAAAGTGAATAAAACGACAAATGTCTGTGATGGAGAGATAGCAGGATGTATGTAAAGTGAATAAAATGACCTAAGCATGCCCCACTTTGTATTGGAGCCGACAAGCATTAAATACATCCTGGTCCGCTTAAGGGAAGTAACTCGACGAAGCCTTAATTCCTTGTTCATCCATTCCAGCTACATGAACATTAGGAAGGGGAAATGAAACTGTTGTACGACTCAGAGTATTAAGGACATCCTATTCAAAACAAATACCAACAACAGTGATATGAAAGGCTTTAGTGGCCTTGGCCTATTTTCAGGATACTGTACTACTTGAATAAATTAACCGTGTATTATTTGATGTTAGGCCATTTTTAATGAAAAAAGACAATACCATGATTTGTGGTGTTTTCCTTAATCACTGTTTGACTGTTGACGCGTGAAGTTACGTCTCTGTCCTTGAATGAACGGCTGCACATGAGGCCCCATGATCTCATCCATGAATCGCATACCTGTCAGATAACCATTGACAGAGACAAGTTGTCTCCGATCATGAGATGTGATGATCCCCCACACCATAACGCTACCGACACCAAACTGTCGACGTTGAACAACGACCACGCGTCAGCATACCCTTCACCTCGCCCTTTTTACACCCTTGCCCTGCCATCTGAGCTGTCCTATCTTGCCTCCTTTACCGTAGATGCTGTCTTTACCAGGCAATGCGTGCCTGTCGGAAACGTTGCAGCAAAATTAGACGTATTGCAGGCCGTCGGGGCCGGATGTTGTGCTCCCTTAGTCGGTTCCGTAAAGTGCTGGAACTGATTGGACGTAAGCCAGGAATAGTCCGTTGCGTGAAACTGGCAGTCTGGAATTGAATCCTTAGATGGGTCAGCCGAATGTGGTTGTCTTGCTGAAGTGACGTCATGCGTGGACGTCCGGTCCGAGGCAAATGTCTCATGTTCCCATTTTAATTTTATTGGAAACGTCTCTTTAGAGATGAGATCGTGTTTCGATGGACACCAAAATGTCTGGCCACTTTATTTAAGGCCATTCCAGTCTCTAGCATGCCCACGGTGTGACGACGCTGATTTTCTCTGCGCCGTGGCATGACGTATGCGCAGTTTAGGTTGAAATCAACGTGTTTTGCACAACATTCAGAGGCTAGAGAATAATCAACCGTTCTTCAATTTTCAGTATCAGGTGAACTTCTTGTGTCAAAAAGCATGCAAAAAAGTGCTTTGCTACATGTTTATATAGGGTGATTTTTTATAGTTTTCAAATAATTTGTATTTTTCTTTCCGTTAGTATATTGAGTGAGTGAGTCTGTTTTGTTTTACGCCCCTTTTAGCAACATTCCAGCAATATTACGGCGGGGGACATACTAAATTGGCTTCACACGTTGTTGCCAGTGTGGGGAATCTAACCCGGGTCTTAAGCGTGACGAGCGAACGCTTTAACCACTAGGCTACCCCAACGCCCCCTGTCCTATAAGGACAAAAACCCACGGCAACCTAGAAGATGCTCTAGGCAGGGAGGAACGTCAGAAGGCCGCAACACAATATAGTATGCTGATGATGTATCTCATCGTATTTGAATTCTGATATATTCATCGGGAGGTGGGGTAGCCTAGTGGTTAAAGCGTTCGCTCGTCACGCCAAAGACCCGGGTTCGATTCCCCACATGGGTAAAAAGTGTGAAGCCCATTTCTGGTGTCCCCCGCCGTGATATTGCTGGAGTATTGTTAAAAGCGGCGTAAAACTAAACTCACTGATATATATTCATGATATTATTGTCTGCATGTCGAAGTATTAAGTTAAAACAAAATATATGTGATAGATAATTATGTTGATCTGTCAATTATGTGCTCTGTATACAATAGTAAAACATTAACATTTGGTAATAACAATCTGTGTATTATACATGCTGATCTGTATGTTCTGAAACACTGGTAATACATATTGATACATTGATAATTAATCTCCACGTATTTATCTTCCCCAACAAAAGTGTTTGCAATCATGCTGAAGGCCCAGGTTCGATTCCCCACATGGGTACAATGTGTGAAGCCCATTTCTGGTGTCCCCCGCCGGGATATTGCTGGAATATTGCTAAACTAGCCAGTTCATACACATTGATGGAGGTCAAGTAAACCACGACTGCATGATAAGCTCAATCAGTAAGATTGACGGAAATATGGTTCACGTAGATTAATCGATCAATTAAGCGAGATATCAGTTGCTTGGTAACGTAACTATTTACACTGAGACGTCGCACTCTTTGTAAAAATGAAGTCGTGTAGCTTAGAATTATCTCCCTTGTGTATCTAAACGCCAGCTAAAGAGGTGCTTAAGGTTTGGAACTATGTGGAACTGGGACTGATTTACATGTGTGAACAAGCCACTGTACTAATATATGTGTGAGATAGCGTGAGTGTGTGTGTGTATGTGTGTGACTGGATATATGAGTGAGAAAGCGTTTAAATTATGGGGAAGATGTTAGCATGTGTGAGTGAGTGAGTGAGTGAGTGAGTGCATTTCTGGAGCGATGTAACAATTACTCACACGGGCTGTTTATGTAGATTAAAACGCTGCATAAACTCTTTTTGCCTTGGCCAAGAGTCACAATTGACGGAATCCACACATATCTGTCACCACCAAAGACAATACCCCAAATATATAAAATAAATTTATTATAATACCCAAACAATTAAATAAAAAACGAAAATCACCTAACACTAGGAGGACAGATTTTTCCTTTGACTTCCAACAACATTTGATTAACAGTTTTAGGAGGAATGTAAGTGAAGTAATTCTCCTTCTCATTTTGGCCATCATAGTTCTGCCATGTTTGATATCGAAGTCCTCGCCAAGACGCCATTGCCCGGAAGTGACGATTGGCCTGTGTCCAGTATATAGGATAAAACTCCAAAACACCTGCATGTTTGGGAAGGAAGAGCGTATGTGACATTCCAGCACCGTGCATACCCAGGAGAATATCAGTGTTTGCAATAAGCTCCAGTTGCTGTTTCATTGGCAGAACATCCAGTTGCACGCCCGTGATGTTGTGGCCCGGGAGGATGTTGTGCATGTTCGCAATGATCTCATCCTCATTTTTAATTTTCCTTTTGACTAAACCTTTTGGATTTCTCGGATGGGCAACGTAATCTCGTCTCCAAATGAACATGACGTTTAGTTTATTGCAGTTTAACTGTTTCGTGGTCTTGACTTTGTGACGTGAAAGGAAGAACTGTCGGAACAGCTCCAGATACGGCACAAATGGTCTATAATGAGAGTTTAGAGGGCTGTTGTAGCCCATTACACTCCACACCATATCATCAAACTGTGTGGCTGCCTCTAAAAGCCCAGCCCTTTTTGTCTCTCCGAATAACACATTCCACGTTTCGTCAAGGCCGCCTTGTGGGTGAGCATCTACCCACAATACCGTGACGTTATCCGGATGCTGATCAAACACCAGCATCATCAAAAAAGCGTTGTAATAATCCGTCATTGTGTGATAAAGGTTGACATATTCGTATCTCATCACGGCCAAAGTCATTCCTTTAACTCGTTTTGTTACTGCCCTATCCTTTTTGCAGCTCACGGCGTTGTTCCAGTTCCTAAGATGGTCTTTGCCACCGAACCCAATCCCCGGAGGCGTGTCGCAGTCTAAACTGAAATATCCATTCTTTAAGTTCAGGTACTCGTCCTCTTCTCGCTGGTTGAGGACAGTCGAGATAGACTCTCCTCCTTTTCTACCAATTCCTAGCGATGGGTCAATGATGACGTTATGAAGTCGGGCAAACTGACTGCCGTAATTTACAAACTGACCCTCACTTTCAACCTTCGCAGCTTTCAACCAGCCGCAAACCGGATCCTGATTTATAATCATTGTCTGATTCATGAACGATACTTTGTGTTTGATATCACATCCTCTCTGACCTTCTGCTTGGGCCATGTCAATTATACTCGATTGCACTGCACCCCTGACTCGACCGACATCTTTGGACACGGTGACAACTGCATGCCCGCTGGATAGAAAATCACGCAGCGGTACCGCCCCGTACGACTTCCATGCGAATACCAAAGCTCCTAACAGTAACAAGTAAAACAAGACGATGAACTTGAACAGTTTCCGATATGGGATTCGGAAGCAGCTGGCCATGGTTCGTAATGATGTTGTAGATGTGGATGTAGATGTGAATTTGGTGACTAGATGAGCTGCCGACTCATATCGTCAGAGACAGCTGTTGCACCAGAGATGTTTCTCCATGGGATGACATACGGCCGACTCCAGGATTCAGCGTCTGGCCTCCTGTCTGAAATGAAAGAAGACAATGTTACGTTGGTGTAGCGAAGAACAAAAAGAAGAAGAAGAAGAAGAAGAAGAAGAAGAAGAAGAAGAAGAAGAAGAAGAAGAAGAAGAAGAAGAAGAAGAAGAAGAAGAAGAAGAAGAAGAAGAAAAAGAAGAAGAAGGTTCGTTTCCAGTAGAAGGTCTGGGTCTGTGGGCAGAAATTGTTAAGGGTGGCCTGACACAGATGACCATCAAAAGAAGTTGTCCAAACTCTCTTCTATTTGCCAAGAGAGTTTGGATAAAATATTTTTCAGTGTTGTGTATATTCCACTGGATGCTAATGGCAACAACCCAGCTGATACTATTCATAAACATGTTGATGTGCTTGATGATATATGTCTGAATGCACCCAAATGTATTCTTGGAAATTTTAACAATTGCAGGTTCAATAAACTCTCCCTAACTACAGTCAATATATAACTTGTCAGACACGCAAGGACAAAACAACTGACTTATGCTACGGCAATGTCAAGGACGCTTTCAAATCATTTGCTGAAGCCCCTCTCGGAACGTCAGATCACAACTCAGTGTATCTAATTCCCACATACAAGCCTAAATTGAAAACAGAAAAGCCAAAATCAAAGTCAATAAAATCATGGACAGCTGATTCACTCGACCAACTCAAAGGTTGCTTTGATTGTACGGCTTGGGACGTTTTCGAGGACTCGTGCTCGGACATTCATGAACTGACTGATGTGGTAATTGATTACATCAATTTCTGTGTTGATTGTGTCATACCCGTGAAAACAATAAAACTGTATCCCAACATTAAGCCGTGACTAAAGAACTCAAGTCTGTGCTCAATGAAAAGAAAAGGGCGTTTTCTACTGGTGACATGACGAAAGTAAAAGTTGTTCAGAAGGAAATATCACGTGCAATAGATTCATGTAAAAGACAATACAAGTCTAAACTTGAACAACATTTCTCCAACTCTGATCTTCGTTGGGCTTGGAATGGTGTTAAATGTGTACTGGGGACAAATAAGAAGCGTGCTGACATAAACGTCTCGGACTCTCTACAGTTTGCTAATAATTTTAATACTTTTTACTCTCGATTTGATACAGTTGACTTCAGTGATGACAGAGACAATGTTCGAAATATGTTATCCGATGAACGTGTGATTGAGTTAACTCCCTTTGGTGTCCTCAATTCATTTTCTAAAATCAATGTTCACAAAGCAACTGGTCCAGATAATCTTTGTGGTAAAGTTTTGAAAGAATGTCGTGAACAATTATCCCACATTTTTAAAACAATTATTCAAATTTCTATCAATAATCATTCTATCCCAAGCATTTGGAAAACTTCAAATATTATCCCAGCACCTAAAATATCCACGCTCCCCGTTGATGATGACTTCCGTCTAGTTGCTTTGACGCCTATACTTATGAAGTGTTTGGAAAGAATTGTAAAGCGTTTGCTCCTGAAAGAAACAGAGCACCTTCTGGACCCTCTTTAATTTGCCTACAGGGCTGGGCGAGGTGTCGAGGAAGCTGCCATCACTTTATTAAACAATATTTACAAACATTTAGATCTTTCCCTTTCCTATGTACGAATTCTGTTTGTTGACTTTTCTTCAGCTTTTAATACTATCCAGTCTCATATTTTAATGCAAAAGCTCTGTAGTATGCCAGTCAACCCATGTGTTATAAAACGGATAGAATCTTTTCTTGTAAATAGACCCCAGTTTGTAACTGTCAATAGCACCCAATTGGCAACAACATTCATATCCACTTGTGCCCCGCAAGGTTGTGTTCTTTCCCCGGTTGTATTTATTTTATATACAAATGATTGTATCAGTACGCTTTTACAATGTTTAACTGTAAAGTTTGCAGATGACGCCGCACCCGCTGGACTTATAAGGCACTCGGAGAATGATTATCGCTCTGAAATCACAAAATTTCTTGATTGGTGTAAAATCAACTTCCTTAAATTAAATGTTAAAATAACAAAAGAGATGATAATTGATTTTCGCAATAGTAAAAGTGACCTGTTGCCAATTGCCATTGATAACGAAACCATAGATAGAGTTGAGGAATATGAGTATCTTGGCACAGTGATAGATTCTAAGCTCACCTGGAACAGTAATATTGATTACATATACAAGAAAGGACTAAAGCGGCTATACTTTTTACGTTGTCTTCGTTATTTTAAGATTGACACAACCATATTGTCCTTTTTTTCTAAGTCTTTTATTCAAAGTATTTTAGTTTTCAATGTACATCGCTGGTATGGCAGCCTGTCTGTTCAAAATCGATGTAAACTTTCCAAAATTGTTATCACAGAGCGAGTAAAATGTCTGGACTTAAAATGCAAGATATCGGTACTATTTACAAGCAGGAAATTGAAAAAAGCACGTAAAATTTTAAATGACCGCACTCATGTCCTATTTCCTGAATTTCAACGTCTTCCTTCTGGCCGACGACTGCGCACGCCTATATTCAGAACAAACAGAGCTCGAAATTCTTTCCCAGCAAGCATCAGTGTTTTAAATTATTTTAATGTTTGTTAATAATTTTATAGTACTTTATCAATTGTTTCAAACTGTTATATTAATATACTTTTAGTGCTTATGTTCCTCAGCAATTTTTTTAATGTCGCACCTATAGCTCTAAATGTTAAATACATTATTATTTATTCAACATTATCTTTGCCTCATATATTGGGCGTTGTTGCTAGTAATATTTGACAAATGTATGGGTCTTTCTGTGGTCTTATGTATATGTATCTTTTGTTGTATTGTATTTCTTTTTCAATGTTAACCGTGTGAAGCAAATTTCCTTCAGGATAATAAAGCATTATCTTATCTTAAGTTAATATGTTTTTAAACTTCCAACATTCTCGGACATTAAATATGATACTAATTATGATTCTACAAAAACATGATACTACCAAATATGATACTACTAAATATGATCACTACCAAATATGATACTACGAAATATGATCACTACCAAATATGATTGTACCAAACATGATTACTACCAAATATGATACTACCAAATATGATTGTACCAAACATGATACTACCAAAATATGAAACTACCAAATATGATACCACCAAACATGATACCACAAGACATGATAGTACCAAACATGATACTACCAAATATGATAGAACCAAACATGATACTATCAATCATGATAGTACCAAACATGATGCTACCAAATATGATACTACCAAATATGATAGTACCACCATGATATTGCCAAATATGATACTACCAAACATGATGCTACCAACTATGACAGTACCAAACAGGATACTACCAAATATGATAGTTCCCAAACTTACTACGACACATGATCACTACCAAATATGATAGTACCAAACATGATACTACTAAATATGATACCACCAAATATTATAGTATCAAACATGATGGTACCAACTATGATAATACCAAACATACTACCAAACATGATACTACCAACTATAATACCAAACATGATACTACCAAATATGATAGTACAAAACATGATACTACCAAATATGATGCTACCAAATATGATACAAATGTTAACACAATATAGTGCACGTATGTTCACAGACATTGAATTAAAAGACCACACAGATAAACTGGACTGAATAATTTACATGGCTGGTATTCTTTCACAGTATCCTACATCGGATTTAGGATCCAAGACCTTATTTATTTTGAAACTATAATTCCTGTGCACTTGTCCCATATTCAACGTCCATATCGTCAACCATGGTGTGATATCCCCTTCGAGAATAGTGGCAGGCCATACGATGAGATAAACCCAAGTCTCCCAAAATTCAGCAGTTGAGTATTCACTTAATTGTTGTACACATTGGGTTTTGTTCCCTTCTCAGGTATTCCATATACCATTACTCAATTCGACTGAGTAATATGGTTCTTTCAAGAATTCTTTTAATGGTCTTGGTTTAAAATCCAGATTAGACTACTTATATCCTTTATGTAACAAACGTGTCCCTTAAACTCACAACTGTCATACATGTGACGATTTCTAACTGACAATACGCCCGGGATCCTATCCAAAAAACGTTCGCAGCAGTATGCAATTCGTCAGCCTTAAGTTACCATAGGTCGTAACGCTACGAACGCTTTGTGGATCGGGATAATTCAGAGCACTGGTTGCAGTAGAGGTCATGTATGCACATTCTGTTTGCTGTGGGTTGGTAAACACATATCTGTAAAATCTGATAATCCCTCGGGAGATTGAATTGCACAATAGCATACTAGTGATCACTGATATCTGTTTTTTAAAATACACGAACACGAAGTGAGCTTTCCGCCATATTGTATAGTGTTTACAAAATCACGTTTCGCAAAGTCCGGGCAAGAGACGCCCACATGTTACATCAAGCATATTATTTCGCACTCAGAGGCGACAAAGGTTTAGTCTCTATTCGCCTACATCTCAATTCGCCTACATCCCATTTCGCATACAAAAACAATGTAGACTAATTGGGATTAGAAAATGCACCCCTACTCTTATAATGAACCTGACTCACTGGTCAGTGCCATCCTAATTAGGTAAATCTTCCAAATTATCCTTACTCCATGTCTAAATTACTGTTTAACGACACACATTTTGGAAAATGTAAGCATAAATAGATAATAATATGAATTTTTTTTTTGACGAAATTGGACTTAGTTATATCTGGAATTCCCAAAATTTTGAATGTAAACTAGAAGAGGCGTATAAGCAAGTGTGGTTTTCTACGGTAGAACATTCATCAAAAGGTATCTTATATAGCTCCTTATCTAACTTATATTTAAGGTTGAGTGAATATTTGAATATTTTAAATGATAATTGTTCACAGGCATTGTTACGTTCTGAAACATCAAAGCATAACTTACCCATTAAAACAGGCCGCTGGAGCAATATTCAAAAACGTGATAGAATATGTAAACTTTGTAATGGTAACGACATTGGCGATGAATTTCATTGTTTATTTATTTGTTCTCACTTTAAAAA